CAGGGGAAAGCTAGCAAACATTACTCAAATATAATGATAAACACAAATGTAATGTTCCAAAATCCAAATGTTCCAAAACTTTTTAAAAAATCGCTGATATTTTCTCAAAATGCTTACGTACCGGTAGAATATGTAAATGACACCTTGCAGATCCGGCAAATAGTTTTTTTAGGATCGTTTCTCTGAAACCCAAACACTTTCCAAACAGGGCTCCTAAGCCCTGATGGCGCATCTTTGATTTCTAGCTCAGCGTTTTCACGTTTACTTTCAGCCATTATTAGCTCTTCAATGTGGAGGAAACAAATTTTAATTGTACACTGAACGAAACGAGCATAATCCCCGGGGATTTAAGTGGCCCGTTTAGCCCGATGCTTGAGGTTCTGACGCCCGTGGCCCGACCCGTGGAGCTAATACCCGCGGGCACTCGAGCAACGGTAGTATTAATATTTCCATACAAGGATTTCCATATTAGTCATATAATTGTAAACACTTATATATCACCGGAAAATCCCTAGATGTGGGTCCCATTTTGAAGAAAAAACACTAGATATGAGTCCCATTTTGATGAAAAATCTCTAGAACTGGGTCTACTCTTTGAAAAATCCTAAAACTGTATGGGTACTGTTTTTGAAAAAATAGCCGGAAGTGGGTCTTGTTTTTTGAAAATTAATTGGGTAGGTATTTTGAGTCTCACCGGCACCCCCCCCCCAAAAAAAATTTTGACCAGTACCCCCCCCCCCCCCTCCGCCATGGGGGAGCTTTTTGACAGTGTTGGCTAAAAATCATTCCAATTTGCTACATGATCGATCAACATTCCCGCATCGATTGGAGACTATAAAGATTATCATTCTCTTTTTTACTGTAGCGACACAACGACTTCCAGTGTATTTTCATGCAGGTAAACTTTTACAAATTTACGAAGAAAACAGGTATTATCGTGCTATATATCCATTGCAAATACACGATGTTATGTATAAACAAAATAGTGTAATTGTTTAAGTCAAAGGTGCAGGTCGAAGGGTTTTTATAACTTTCTTTTTGGGCCGCTTTTTGGAAACCCTGTAGGTCGAAGGTGAAGGTCGAAGGTGCAGGTCGAAGGGTTTTTATAACATTCCTATTATAATGGGATGTGTTGGAGGAAAAAAACTTCAATGAACACTGGAAAGCAGTTACATTTTCATTGTGTGTACAATGGGTAAGATAAAATTTTGTAGTGTGAACTGTCCTTTGTGACCCAACAAAAAGAGCAGATGTCTTCAATTACTTCTTATACATTCTGGAGACATTTTCTGAGACTGATAAAAAATTCACAATTTCACAGGAAGTGATACATACTCCCAAATCAACCAAAATATACTTATATCAGTAATCTTGAATGCTTTTTATTGCTATTTCTTGAAAATATACATATTTATCTACAATTTGATCCTACATATCAAGATTATTAACGACATTGCATTTTTCAAAAAATGTTAAGTGACCCTAGGGGTGTCTATAGCCATTCGTTTTTTGAATTAAAAAGTGCAAAAAATGGAAAATCCCTGGGATCGGATGGTTTTAACGTTGGCTTTTACAAATTCTTTTATTGCGATATAGGAAAATATTTACTCAAATCGTTAAATGCAGCTTATACACTTTGCGAATTATCAGTAACACAAAAACAAGGAATAATTACATGTCTACCTTAAGTGAATAAAATCAGAAAATACTTTAAAAACTGGCGGCCAATCTCATTATTAAATGCGGATTATAAACTCCTCTCATCAGCCTTAGCCACAAGAATGAAGTCAGTTCTGCCGCATATTATCTCTAGAGATCAAAAAGCATATCTAACAGGTCGAGAGATGTCAGAAAACACACGTCTAGTCTATGATGTCATAGATCATCTGAATCGAAAAGAGCACCAAGGACTATTACTTTTAGCAGATTTTGAGAAAGCCTTTGATAGTATTGAATGGGTATACTTAGAAAAATGTCTGAAAGTGATTTTGGGGATGGCTTCCTTAAATGGTTCAAGATTCTATATAATGGGTCTGAAAGTTGCATTATAAATAATGGTTTGTTTCAAGTTTTTTCAAATTAAAGCATGGCTGTCGGCAGGGAGATGCCCTCTCCTGCTATGCATTCATCCTAGCTCTGGAACCTTTATGTTCAAAACTTAAAAACGACAAAGAAGTATTAAAGTCTATTATGAAGAAGTTCAAATGGGAATGTATGCAGATGACACCTTTGCATTTTTAGATGGCACAGCAAAATCACTAAGACGCTGCCTATGTATTTTTGATATGTTTTATGAAACGTCGGGATTAAAGTTGAATACACCTATCTTCTGATTTAAAAGATGAAGAATCTCTCAACTTTGAAAACAAAATTACTGAAATGCAAAAAGTTATAATTAGGTATAAAACAAGAAATCTATCCTAATAGGAAAAATTACTGTGCTCAAATCCTTTGTGTTGCCGAAGGTAGTACATTTGTTCCTTGTCTTGCCAAAATTGTCGAACCCCTATCACACTAGAATCAAACAATTATTTTCTTCTTTCATTTGGAACTCAACAGTTGCAAAAGTAAGTTTTTCACAAATTGTACAAGATTTTGACAACGGAGGCTTAAAAATGATTGATCCCAAGATTTTTGAGCATTCACTCAAGTTGACATGGTTGCAAAAACTTCAGAAATTTGGCACATGGCAAGACATTGCACTTAATATTTTAAATGTAAACTCAAAACGTGAACTCTTTGCATATGATTCAAAATCCTTAAAGAAAATATTAGAAAATATTTCAAATAAATTCTGGAAAGATTTTGATTACACTTTTAGAATATACACTGAGCAAAAAGAGAATAAGGCAAAGAAAGATTCAAAATTGAGTGCTGACCTTGCTATGTGCAGTACTTGGGTAAAGCTTACAAAGAACCAAAATGTCCAAAAAATATTGAAGAATGAAAGAGTCAATGGGGAGACAATGGTACTACAAGATATGTTTCATCAGTCTAATAGAATTCTGAATCAAGAAGAATTCAATGAGAAGTTCAATAAAAACATCAACTTTCTTGACTATTTGAGTCTTAGAAATACAATTCTTAATCAGTGGTTGAGCGATATTAAGAAAAACGGTGATAGTTTAAATAACTTTGAAAGACAAAAACAACACATAAAAAAGTTCTTGGGCCAAAGTAAGATAAGCAAAATTATATATTGGGAATTTATAAAAAGTGAAGAGACAAATATAAAGAACATCACTGGTTGGAACAAAGATCTGAATCTGTCACTTAACAAAAAAGACTGGAAAATGATCAATAGAATCAATAAGGTCAGCAATTTTGAACCAAAATTATCTTCATTCAATTTTAAAATTCTTCATAGATTTTTGGCCACCAACACATATTTGAAAATGTGTGGATTAGCAGAATCGGATCTGTGTACCTTTTGTAAAGTAGAACCAGAGTCAATCTGTCATCTCCTCTATGACTGTAAAGTGATAATGGAACTGATAGTAGTCATTAAAAACTGGTTACCATAGGAATTGACAGGACTTTGTACAAAACAGAATATTTTAATAGGACCAGTATGTATAAATGACAGAACAATTATCCTGACAAATATGTGGAGTATATTTAAAAGATATGTGTACCTATGCAAATACTCGATGTAGACCTACCTTTAAAGGATTTAAAGCAAATGTAATATCTTATTGTAATATTGATAAGCAAATAGGCAGGGAAAAAAGGTGGGAAATTATGGGTACTAGAATTGATTAGACTAGTGTGGTTGGATGCCTTAAAAGAATATGATGGAAAATTGTGCGACTCCTATGATATTATGTATATTGTATACATTAATTTAACTGCTTTCAAATGTTTTTTCAATGAATAAAAAAAGGAATAAAAAAATAAATAAAAAAAAGATAGCTGGATGCTAGTTGTTAATAGGAAGAAAAGTGCAAGGACATAAATAAAGAATAACTTGACATTAAATTGCAAGCAATCTTATGGAGGCCCTCAGAGGCATTTTAGACAATTCAAAGGTCAAACAAAGGTCACATCTCAAATTTGAGGTCAGATGTGAACTCTTGAGAACTTGTAGATGATTTTTAAAAAAAGTTTAGTAAAATCGAAGCAAGTAGAAATGACGAGGGAAATCAATATTTTTCATTAAAAATCAGGGTATACATTCCTCTAAGGGTTCTACACATAGCAATTGACAAGCTATTAAAATTGTGTGCCACATTTGAGATATAAGAGCTCAAAAATTGAAAAAGATCAAAGGAGGAGGGAAATTTATGCAACAGATTTCGGACAGTCATATTTTGGATTTTGGCTATTTTCTGAGGATTTAAAAACGTGCATATGTTAGGCCAATGCATACCTCCAGGAAAAGCACTTCTAGAGATGATAAAATAATTTCGACTTTGAGACAGGGTAGATGCAAACAACCCACCCACATGTTTTTTCTGAAATGTTTTCCTGATTTTCAACCCCTTCCACTCAAGTTTTTATAATTTTTCTTGCATAAATATATGACATTTTGACACACAGTTAACCCCTTTAAAGGAATAAGTGATTCAGCTTTCAGCTAATTTTGGTCACCCAGAATGGATATCTTTAAAACCCCTGTAGGAATTACTTATTCCTTAAAAGTGGTTAACTGTGTGTCAAAACCCAACATATTGATGCAACAAAAATTGTAAAAGCAGGGGTGGAAGGGGTTGAAAATCAAATGACCTTGACATTTGATCTTAAAAATTTCACTTTTTCAGACCTCGTTACGTCTTTTGTAATTTGAGCTTTTGCCTTTAGCAGATGATCTTTTATGAGGCAAAAAGCCATTGTGTGCCTATACCCAAAAGGCATCAGCCTATAAATTTTGAACAAATTGTCAACAAGTATCACCTGATAGACAAATGATCAAATAAACAGTTCCTTTAAATCACTCCAGAACAATGCTTGATTGGATAGTAAGGATGCAAGACTATCCATTCATAAGAAAATACTCAAACCTTGGGATGTGCAGCAAGTTCTTGAGATTCCACCTTAGCTCCATTTACAAACACAGGTACAGCGCCATCTTTCTGTAAGGCTGTGTAGCGGGGAACTATAGGGTCTATGACCTTCTTGTTGAATGCCCAGATTTTGTCCCACTCCATCATACACACAGACTTGGAAGATCCCTGCAGAAAATATTTGAACATTGACTATTGACTATTTTTTCACATCAGCATTAAATATACAGGGTGATCTGAAAAAATGTTAGTTTTGAAATAACTTTCTCAATCATAATGGAATCTTTGTGATTTTTTGTGTAGATAGAGTGTTCAATGCATGACACATTGGTCACACTGGTATTCACTATCACCAAAAGTCAGAAACTCAAATAATTTAAATATTTTTTAATCAGAAATTAAGAAGGATATAATAAATGCTAAATTGATTTGTGCTTCAGATCTTGGTCTCAACAGAGGCCAAGAGATTAATATTAACAAAGTAAGATGTGACCTAGTTTTTAAATCTCATTTATATTCCACAACTTTACAAATGCAGTGTCTTCTTTGTCAATGTGGCTACAAAAATGAGACCACCTTACAAGTAATTTTTGACTGCATACTCAGATCGAGATTTTTTATAGAACTAGAAGATGAACTTAATAACATACAAAATTTCAACTATCAAGTTTATAAGTCCCAGTAAGACATAAGCTTTTCTTTTTGTGAATGGTGATCGAATCCTACCAGTTAGGGTAAATTTATGTATTTCAATGCTCAGTGCATAAATTATTGAGAAATGTATTCGTCTTTAGTCACCCTGTCCACCACCTGCTTGTTTCTTTCAAATCCTGTGACCATATATATGCTTTCAGTTCCGTCGACAGAGAGTTGCTTTGGTTTAAAATGTTAAATATGGGAATAAATGTAAAAATGCTAGGGGCAGTTCAGTCCCTGTATACAAATGTGAGTTGTTGTGTACGTCTAAATGGAAAACTTACTGGATGGTTCAATGTTAATAACGGTTTGAAGGAGGGATGTCTGTTGTCGCTGTCCCTCTTCTCTTTATATGTTAATGATATGGTTGCAGAAATTAACGCACTGAACGCAGGCGTACAAGTTGGAAGCAGAAATATTGCAATTTTGTTGTACGCTAATTGCCCCTACACCCACTAAATTGCAATTACTACTCAATACCTTAAACATCTGGTGCTCCCAGTAGAGAATAACGCTTAATAAAAATAAAACCAAAGTGAATTCATTTTAGGCCGACAAACGTTAGAAGAAGTAACATTATATTTACATGTGGTGATAATACAACTCTTACCGATACCTCGGACTGATATTCACTGAACATCTCGATATGAAAGTAACTGTAAAAACATTGGCCCAGGCAGCAAATCATGCGCTTGGTGTTCTCATATCAATGTTTACATCAAAAGGAGGCATGTCATCTCATGTGTTCACTAAACTGTTTGACTCTATGGTCGCACCTATCATGCTTTATGGAATTTTCCTCGGTGTCAGTAATCGGGCATCTCGAGTGGTGACAATGGGTGATACTGCCAGAATTTCTCCATATGTACATCAACAAACAGCAGTAAGCCGCTTGTGGTGTCGACTGACAAACATGGCCGATGATAGACTTTCCAAGCAAGTGCATAAACATTCAACTAATTTAACAATGGCGTGGCTTTCTCTTTGGTACAAGGCGGTCATAATAGAAATCAAGACCAGAACACAACAACGCCAAAGCTTAGTGAATCCCATCGAACAGAAATGGCTGGCATTTTTACAAACGAATAGCAAATATCATAAAACAACACACCAGAAAGGCCACCATTTTCAAAATGGTTGCTCACTAGCCAAGTTGTCATCAGAAGAAATAATATGCTTTTAAGTAGCCACCTCTAAAATTTTTGAAAAATCGCACACATACTTGTAAAATAACACACATAAAAATGGTGGCCATTTTTCAAAATGGCCGACTACTCCCCAAAGTTTTATTAGACAATGTGCCATGCTTAAAGTATTCACATATCAAATATGAACAAAATCGCTCCACTACTTTTCGAGTTATAGTAAAATACATTAAAATGGCGGCCATTTTTTTTTCAAAATGGCCGCCTTCTACCAAAAGTGTCATAGGACAGTGTGCCATGCTTATAGTATTCACATACCAAATATGAACAAAATTGCTCCACTACTTTTCGAGTTATAGTAAAATACGTTAAAATGGTGGCCATTTTTCAAAATGGTGGCCATTTTTCAAAATGGCCGCCTTCTACCAAAAGTGTCATAGGACAGTGTGCCATGCTTATAGTATTCACATACCAAATATGAACAAAATTGCTCCACTACTTTTCGAGTTATAGTAAAATATTTTAAAATGGCGGCCATTTTTCAAAATGGCCGCCTTCTACCAAAAGTGTCTTTAGACAGTGTGCAATGCTTATAGTATTCACATACCAAATATGAACAAAATCGCTCCACTATTTTTTGAGTTATAGCAAAAATCGTAAAATGACGAGTAAAGGCCGCCATTTTTCAAGATGGCTGCCATGTGCTTCTTTAATATCTACATTTGTAGCATTATTAATGTCCTTTATATTTTTTTTACATTTAAAACATATTGCTATTACAGTTTTACATATTACACCTAAATTACTGTAAAATCGGCACTAAAATGGCCGCCATTTTGAAATGAGCGGCCATTTTGAAAATCGGCTTTCAAGCAGAACTTCAACCCCCATAGGGTATATGCGTACAAAATATGAACAAAATCGGGTCAACGGTATTTGAGTTATTGCCCGGACGGACGGACGGACGGACAGACGGACGGACAGACGTACGTACGGACGGAGGCGTTCCCTATATCCCTCCGAACTTCGTTCGATGGGATAATAAGTAAAAGAGACCAACTTGGGTAAGGCTATAATAAGTGGCCCATTCATCAATACAGTGAATGTACATCATTCAGTAAAGTATTTGAAATTCAAATTTTAACCGATTACATAAAATTGTTGCATCAAATGGCAATTGCTGTATGGCGCAATGATCACCGCATTATATGGCATTTGAGCCTAGCATCTCCACTGTACTTCCAAACATTTAAAACTTTACAGGAAACAAAAATTCACGAAGATTCCATTATAACTGGGACAGTTATTCAAAATCTAGAGGGTAATCTTACTCAAATGTCAGTTACCTGAGCAACTATGAACTGCTTCAAACCTTCCACTGTCATTCCACGTCTCAAGACACCTCTCACAGTGGGGAATCTGGGGTCATCCCTGGAACAAAATAAAGACATGTAACAGTGCATTTAGTTGCTGTATATCTTGTGTAAATATTATAACTTCTAAAAATGCATTGCTCTGTTATAGAAAAGGAATAAGTACTATCTACTAGACACAAATACTCCACAAAACGCACAGCCTACTTTTCCAAGAGTATCAAAATTTAAAGAAAAAATAAAAAAATTGCAAAAAAGCATTGGGTGATAAATTATTTTTCACTGATAATAGGGTTAATTGAACTTAGATGTAATTTACTTATCACTATCTACTGAGCTAAGAATGGCCAGCTACATGTACATGTACTTGTATAACAAAGAGGAGTGCAATATTTTTCTATTGTTTTTAAAGAATGTACACTTGGCAAGTTATCCCAATACCACTGGTGATCCGCTCGATAACGCTGGTTACCGAAATTATTAGTTTTAGTAACAAAATGTTGGAACAAGGAGGTACATGTACGATCTTTCTTTTTTCCTTATTTCACGCATTGTAGGCAGAATCCCCAGGACATTTTTTCTCACAAATGTGTATCAGTATCATATGTTTCAGAGAATGTACATGTTTGTGAAAAATAGCTCAGAAGACAACAGAATCATCGATTTGATTCTTCACTTAAGTTACATAAACGGTATGGGTTAAAAGTGCAGATCTTAACTGTTTTTCGAAATACCGTTCATGTAATTTAAGTGAGGAATTAAATCGACGATTCTGTTGTCTTCTGAACTATTTGTTCGCAAATATGTACACTTTCTTAAACATATGATACTGATACATGTTTGTGATAAAAATGTTTTTTTTAACAATAGCAGTTGAATAGTAAACACAAAAGAGATCAACTTTAAACTGTTAACCCTGTTACGTGTACTGAAGCTGAACGAATGGCGAATCTCATTTTTACAAAAACCTTCTAATACTTTTTCAGGACAGCCAAAATCATAGAATAACACAAATAAAAATGGCCACCTACTGCCTACTAGCCAAAGTGTCATAAGACAGTGTGCCATGCTTATGAGTATTCACATTTCAAATTTGAACAAAATCACACCATTACTTTTTGAGTTATCGTAAAAAAACATCACATAACACACATAAAAATGGAGGCCATTTTCAAAATGGCTGCCTTCTAGCCAAAGTGTCATAAAACAGTGTGCCATGCTTATAATTTTTCTCAATTTAAATATGAACAGCTTTATTACCGTCCTATATAACTTTTTTAGATTTAAAACATATTGCTATTACAGTGTTAAATATTGTACATAAATTACTGTAAAATTGGCACTAAAATGGCCACAATTTTTCAACGAGCTGCAATTTTGAAAATCGGCTTTCAATCAGAACTTCTACTCAAATAAAGCATATATGTACAAATTATGAACAAAATCAAGCCAACTGTATTTGAGTAATTGCCTGGACAGATGTATGGATGGACAGATGTACGGATATATGGATGTACAGATTGATGGACGGAGGTGTCCCCTATATCCCTCGGAACTTCGTTCCATTTGATGATTACCTTTAATGAGACTTGGTGCTAAGTGTGTGGTTTAAGTTAAATAAACCATTTCTTAGGAGAAAACTAGAAAAAACAGCAACTCCACGGAGTAGCAAATCCCACCAAAAAAACATATTTTGATTATATTAGAAGCCATCTTGAAAATTCCTTCTTGAGCAGAGCTTGTTTGTCCCTTAGGCATCAACATAAAAATTGTAAACCATATTGAGTTACCATTTGAGTAATCAAAGATTAAGGTGTGAGGTTCCATCCGCCAAAAGGTATGACCCCTATATAGTCCATTTAAAAACCTGTGGTATTGTTCTAAATAACGCCATAGTTGGCTTCTAGGGTACCTAGTATGCCACTATTTGGTATCAAAATAAAGAGGAGTTCAACTTTCATTTGAATTACGAAAATAGGGATGTAGGTCAAAATAGTTCCGACGTGAGCATGTCTACTTTGCGTTTGCCCGTCATCTCAGAATTGAGGTAATGGTAGCAAACGCGAGTTACAATAAATGGACGCTCAAAAAGTATCCCGACTCCCCTATATGAACAGGTACATTTTGATATATAACACTATGGGGGGTAAGCGTTTTATAGTTGATCACGAACGCCATATGTGCAAAGTATTGTTATGAATTTTCGAATTTGGTGTTGGATTACGGTACTCATACCTTAACATTCCTTTTTACGAAATATGGCAGACATTTTGAAATTCTGTAGCCATTTTGAAAATCTTTTTCGAACAGGGCTTCTGTGTTTCTAGGCATCAGCATATACAAGTTAAATTTGATCCAAATTCATTCACAGGTATATGAGTTATCATATCATATCATTATTTCACGAAAAATGGCTGCCATTTTGATATTTAGCAGCCATTGTAAAAGTCTCTCCTTTAAATTTGTCCCTAGGCATCAGCATTTTAAAGTTGTTTTTTTTTTCATTTTCATTTGAGTTACAGATCTCACACAGACACCATAGGGCATATATGTGTGGTAGGATAATGTAACTTGATATCCTAAGGTAGAAACAGCTCCCCGTATTAATCTGACAGGAGCTGGTATCTTTATCCTGGCTAGAACCATAGACAATTCAAGCCAGCACAGGCCTTTTATCGAGTTAGTATCACTCTAGTAATCAACTTCTCTGGTGTACTAGTTAGCTGGCTCTTGTCGCCGCAAGCTGGGATTGAACCCAGGATCTTGGCATCAGAAGTCCAGAGTGCTAACCTTTACACCACAGAACCGAAGTTCAGCTGCCATCTTGAAAATTCTTTGTCAAACAGAGGTACTGTGTCTCTCAGCATCATCATAACTAATCTGTCAACAAGTACTTGAGTTATCAAAGATTAAATGTTTTAAAGAAAAAGGTGGCCAATTTGAATTAAGCAGGCATTTTGAAAATTCCTTTTTGAGTAGAAGTCCTACATTCATAAGGCACAAGGCCATGAAACTTGAACCAAATCTGTCAACCGGTATTTGAGTTATCGCCTGGATACACAAACGGGTAATTAACCTACTAAAACATATTCAGCCGTTCCATGAATGCAGAAGAAAAACATTGAGGTATGACTCTCTGTTAAAGTAGCAGCATGGACTGCCGAGTCGTATCCATGCAGGGATCCTGGGTCTATCGTAAAATGAAAGCTTTGAATGTGTTATAGCCTTTTAAAATGTATTTATTTTCCATACATGCAACTAGAATTTGTGCACATACCTTATATCGATCGATAATGTTAATGCCTTTTTCATCTCCTTTGTCTCCGCCATTTTTATTAAACCAGAAGTTTGTTCTCTAATATCCGCGCAATATTTTTCACTTTTATTTCAGATTACGCTCTGGATTCAACTTTTAATGCTTTCTTATTATCGTCAAGTATTTCTATAAGAAACGTTTGCATAAAAAGACCCACACTATCAGAGTTTTATCGGCTCGAGCAGCCAGAAAAATTAGTTTCAATTTCACCAACTAGGTGTTTCGATGTTGACTTGGAAAGAATTTGAAAAAATCTACGAGTGGGACTCCTTATATAGAATTATAGATTCTAAATGACTTGTCAGTTCTACTGGTTGATGAATATTGCCATATGTATACATTTAAAAAAAAAATAGGAATAACGAAGAAGATGTTAGACCAAAGGAGTGGTATCGATATGGAGAACTGAATTCAACAATGTTTTTCTCTTAAACCAATCATTGAAAACATTCTGTAAAAAAACACGGTATTTCATGTAATGTTGACTGATTGACAACAATTTAATGTGAAAATTATTTAGAAATATTTTATATAACTGTTTTTGCTAACAATTTTTGTTTTTTTAGTACAATTGTTTTTGCTCCTTTCTACCAATTCTTGAGAATGAAATAAAATGTCTTTCCGAACCTTGTTGGAACAAAATAGCATATACAACATATTTTTAGACCTCTCAATATTATAGTTATACAAAGGAATTTTGGGTTGATTTTAAAAAAGTATTCAAAAAATTAAATAATATTGAGAGACCTAAACATGTTGTGTTTATGTTGTTTTGTTCCAATGAGGTTCGGAAAGATGTTTCATTTCACTCTGGAAACATGATACCAATAACAAAACAAGTGTTTGATGTGTTTTCTAAAACAATATACTGTAGATTGGGTTAATTTGGCGCCTGCTTTAATTTGGCGAATTTGGGGAAATTGTAAAATTCACCAATATAAATCTTCGCAAAAATTTAGAATGAATTCCCAGGAATTATCTAGGGTATTTCGTCCAGTTAGGTCACTTCCAGTTCAGTTTTTTCCAAAAATATGGAAAAATGTCTCTCATAAGGCCTCATAAATTGGCGCAGAACTGGTCAGTCACTCATTTATACTCAGGGAAAAACGAGAAAGGAAAAGTGCGGTATAGTAGCAGCATCAATCGAGGTGCAAAATGTAAAGGATGATCTCACAAAAATGTACAAACGTAGTGAATATCGCCAGTGGTCCTCAAAAGAAAAAATGGATATAGCCAAACATGGCCATTTACATGGTAATTCGCAAACAGAGCTTAGGTTTAACATTTTTTTTGCATGTCCGCCACATTAAATAGCCGCCAATATGCCAAAAATGGCAACATCCCCAAATTAAGTAGCACCAAATTAACCCAATCAACAGTAGATGAAAGTATATATATATTTTTCAAATTATATTGTTACCATTCAAAAGATGACCATTAGAAACGTGTGTTCAAAAAGTTCTCCATATTGATACCACTCCTTTTGCCTTGATAGCTCAGAAAGGTAAAATTTCTCCATTTTTCTCTTCACAGTACTTGCTGCCGCTTTAATAAGTCAGAGTGAGTCTAGTTTGGAGGAATAAATTCATGAAATACCCTATGATCACCCATATATTTACCTTTCAAATATCCCAAGGAATTCTGTAATTTGAGACTTCTACAGAAGAATTTGAGAGACGCATTGTGCGTTTATTAGAGTGAATATGGAATGTGCGTTTAATGATTAACTCACCATCCATCCACAATCTTCTCTGAGACAAACCATGTTAGCTTGCGCTTAGAGAGGACAGTATTCTGGAGATTGAGACGACTGTAGGAGTAGATGAATGGTTTGCGGATACCTACAATTAAAATGTTGATTAAGTGTTGATGAGAAATGCAGTCAGTACAGTATTAAGGGCAATTTATACCAAACTTTAATTGTCCTACTGAATAAAATATCCAAAATGAAACTAAGACAATAGCAACGCCAAAGTGTAGCAAATCCCATCGAACAGCCATGGGTGGTATTTTTACACTGTATATAGCAAAACTAGCAGCCATTTTTCAAAATAGCCACTTTCTACCAAAAGTGTCATTAGACAGTCACTGCATTGCTTATAGTATTCACATATCAAATATGATCAAAATTGCTCCGCTACTTTTCCAGTCATAGTAAAATACGTTAAAATGGTGGCAATTTTTCAAAATGGCTGCCTTCTACCACAAGTGTCATTAGACAGTGTGCCATGCTTATAGTATTCACATACCAAATATGAAAAAATCGCTCCACTACTTTTCGAGTAATAGTAAAATACGTTAAAATGGCAGCCACTTTTACTTTTCCAGTCATAGTAAAATACGTTAAAATGGTGGCAATTTTTCAAAATGGCCACCTTCTACCAAAACTGTCATAAGACAGTGTGCCATGCTTACAGTATTCACATACCAAATATGAACAAAATCGCTCTACTACTTTTCGGGTTACAGCAAAAATCGTAAAATAACGAGTAAAGGCCGCCATTTTTCAAGATGGCTGCGATGTTATATACATTTCTAGCTTTATTAATGTTCCATATAATATTTTTACATTTAAAACATATTGCTACAACAGTTTTACATATTGCACCTAAATTATTAAAATGGCCACCATTATTAAATGAGTGGCCATTTTGAAAATCGTCTTTCGAGCAGAACTTCTACCCCCATAGGATATATATATACAAAATATGAACAAAATCAGGCCAACTGTATTTGAGTTATTGCCCGGATGGATTGACGTACAGACGGACATATGGACAGACGGATGGGGGTGTTCCCAATATCCCTCCCAACTTCGTTCGATGGGATAAATAGTCAAGGACACAGTCACAAATGTGTACAACATGTCAACATGGGTATCGTGATGCATCATCTAATGATAGATTTTCTAGATAGATTATTTATTCATTCATTTATTTAAGTGTCACCTATCTCAAATAGCCAGCCCTACCTGGGCTTACAAGACTCATTTTACATTACATGTAATTGAATTTTTTACAATACAAATATAAAATAAGTGCAATTCAGTTAAACATCATTATTGATTTTGATTTTTAAATAAAAAGTATTTTGTCCAATGATGCAAGTTAATCCATATCATGGGCATTCATAGACTATCAATTAATAAATCATATAATTTCAGAAGACCATTTAATCCCAAGAGGAACAGATTTTTAAATGCTATTACTGCAAATTTTGGCATCTGTCAGCCAATTAATATCATTCGACACCTTTTAGGCAATCATGGCTCAGAGAACCTGAGCATTCAGAAACAGCTACTAGGTGACAAGACAGGCAATAAAATTAGTCAAATCAAAGTTGACCCTTCAAATGAAGAGAAAACTTGAATTTAAAGATCAACGAATTTATAACCATGATTAACTAAAAGAGCTTCCCGCTAAAGCCCAACACACACCAATGGGGCAAAATCCGACTTGCCCAACTGTGCCCCATTGGGTCTTAAGATGTCCCATGAGACCTCATTAATTTTGCCCCATGAAGTCCCATCGAGTCCCACCATGCCCCATTGAGTCCCATGGAAATGATATAATTAAAGTTTAGAAGGTTTTGTCACAGTCAATTTGATCCTAAGTCACCTGACACGTCACATGATCAAAAGTTCCATGATGCCCCATGGAAGGAATGAACATATTCATTCTCAATAGAGCTTCATTGGACATCATGGGACTCAATGGGGCAAAGTCTGATGGTTTATAGAGGACTTGGAGGTCCTACCATGCCCACTTGCCCATTGAGTCCCATTGTGTCCCACCATGCCCCATTGAGTTCCATGTTGGAGTTCATGGGACTCAATGGGGCACGATTGGGGAAAGTCTGACTGAGTCCAATGGAGTCCATGGAGCAAAATCCTATGAAGTCCAATGAGGTCCCATGCAGTTCTTAGTTTATTGAGGTTCAATCGTGCCCCTTTGGTGTATGTTGAGTTTAAGGGACCAAATGTCTATTTGGAAGAGCAATGAAAAAAAATTGAAACAAAAAAAATCCTGATTTGGGTTCTTCTCGTTTTCAGTAAACCTGACGCGATATTGGAGAATATTTGTCATCTATCTATGCAACAGTGATAAGGGGTGGGGTCAAAATATCAATGTTCATATGGAGACGAAAGTAATTTCGTTTGGACAACAACCCCCCACCCCCCTCTAGACGAAAGCTTAGGTCACTTAAAAAAACATTGATTTTCAGTGACTGTCAAATGATTTGGAACCCGTGATTACATTGATGAACATGTTACCTTTATACACCGATGATATACTATAGCGATTATTAGTTATTATTACGGTGAATTAACACACGTTCGCAATTTAACTGCATTGAACTCTTCAAAAGGAGGAGGGAAAAGTACGGAATTTATTTGAAAAATGATCGAATTATCGTCTTTATCTACCGATATTTTGGACCTATCACACAAAAAAGCTCACCAACTATTGAAAACAAGCCTTTTTATCAGAACATAGCGCCAGAAAAAGTGGGTAAGTCCAATTATTTTTTGTATATCAGATCCGAATTATCAATGTTTTTTTGGTCAACGAAAGTGCCCAAAAACCCCCTCCCCCCTCGCGAAAGTACTTTCGTCTCCATATGAACATCGATATTTTGACCCCGCCCCTAAATGAATAATAAATACAGGTTATCGTTGTTTATCATAATATAACAAGAATAGTTCCACGGAGAACATTTCAAACAGCACATTAATGGGATGATTGCAGGACTCGTGCTTGACAAAAGGCTCTGGAAACGGTTAATGTAGGTCATAACATATTCTTTCGAGTAGCTCCCTATATGTTGGACTTCAATTCTTGTCTATAATCAGATTGGTAACTTTCACTTTGACTAAAAATGAATTTGTCTCTCACCAGATCAGGCCCTAGCCAGCCTTTGCAAGGGAGGTAGACTTTCCAAAAATTTCCAGGGGTTCTATATTGTAAGTTTTGTCCCAAAAATAATTTAAAAAACTCAATTGCCAAAAAAAACTGCATGGCCACCTCACATTTACCCAAAATGCTAAAAACCAAATCAGTTCGTGATTTGCAGAGTCATCCCTAAAATTTATGTTTATGTTATCTGTCTTTCATTATAATATCAGACAAATAAGTAGAGAGCCTATGCCGAGGCATTACTGTTAAAATTTAATTCTGACAATTATAATTTAAAGAAAACTTGAAGACAGGTCAGAGAAAGATACATGAATTTTGAACTATAACACAGTATATGTCTTGATTTTCTTAAAGACAGAGTGAAGAAAATCAGCTGTTAGTTCAATAGCCTTTTTATTTATTTGTAACAAAAAGTAAAAGGCATATCCTGTCTTCCTGCTTTTTATGATTGAAAGAGTTTAAATTAAAGGATGGCGGCCTCCTAGTTCTCTGTGGAAAATGAGTCTTGAATTATTAATAAAGGACCCACTGTCCTACGCTCACACAGTGTAGAACCTTTAGAGGAATGTATATCCTGATTTTCAAACAAAATTATTGATTTTGATTTGTAGTCTCGAACTTTGAGAAACTTAAACAGCACAGTCAGGGTTCATACACCTTTTTCAAAATGAAATTCCCTGCCATTTCCCTGACATTTCCAAGCAAGAAAGAAAATTTCCAGATCAAATTTTGCATGCACGGCCTCATGAAAAGTCTCAAACAACTGTAATATTTAAAATACAAGACTTATTATGAAACATTGTGGGTTCTCCTTTAGCACCATTTCTCATGACTTAATTTACTTTTTATTCACCAATTTATTTTTTGATACACACTATTTTTTATGTTTTACATTCCATAAGGCCAAAGGTAAACATACATCACATAAAGGGGCGTAGCCAGCAAATGTCAAAGGTGTGCAATTCTTTGGGTTTGGATCACTGCGAGAAAAAGTAACCAAAAAGGGGATACGGGGGTTCACCCCCAGAATTTTTTTACAATTTTCATTGTATTTGGTACATTCTAAGCATTTCAAACTATAATTTGTTAAGTTTTGTAATAAATCCAAATGACAACTGAAACTTTAAAATTTTGATCTAATATCATACTTCATTGTATTTGGTGCATTCTAAGCATTTCAAACTATATTTTGTTAGGTTTTGTAATAAATCCAAATGACAACTGAAACTTAAAAATTTTGATCTAATATCACACTAGAACAAGGCACAGACGTGAACAATATCGTACCTAAAACACAGCATTGTGGTCTTGTTGACCAAGAAAGCAAGATGGCCGCAGAAAAGTTAATCAGCTCTAGAACTTATCACTGTGTAACATATGTAAAAATTTGAACGGTTTGGCTGGAAACCTGTAGACAAGTCTTGAAAGTGAAGATTTTAGGACGGAAAATCCAAAATGGCCACCTTAAAATTTAACCAGAATGCCCAAAAACTAATCAGTTCTTGACGTTGATATGTAGAAACATCCCTGAAAATTTCAGATGAATCCCTCTAAAGGTTTGGCTGGAAACCTGTAGACAAGTCTTGAAAGTAAAGATTTTAGGATGGAAAATCCAAAATGGCCACCTTTTAATTTACCCAGAATGCCCAAAAACTAATCAGTTCTTGACGTTGATATGTAGAAACATCCCTGAAAATTTCAGATGAATCCCTCAAATGGTTTGGCTGAAAACCTGTAGACAAGTCTTGAAAGTGAAGATTTTAGGATGGAAAATCCAAAATGGCCACCTTAAAATATACCCAGAATGCCCAAAAACTAATCAGTTCTTGACGTTGATATGTAGAAACATCCCTGAAAATTTCAAATGAATCCCCCAAATGGTTTGGCTGGAAACCTGTAGACAAGTCTTGAAAGTAAAGATTTTA